GGATCACCAAATGTTTTAATATCACTGTGTTGTGAATCCAGTGTTAGTCTGATTTAGTCAGGCTTGCAATCCCTGTATAACACCTACTTGCAAGTCCAGATGATAGCTCTGCCAATGAAGTAACATTTTTCAAAGTTTTGGAGCAGGTAGAAACAATTTGCGGAAGGTATTTTGAAGTGGCTTTTGATCAGACTCTACTGTCACTGTTACTCCTAAACAAGAGATTGATTAAAATGTTGACAGGCAAAAACAATAGCTAGGCATTCTTTCTTTAACTGTGTAGTGGTGTTCAGTTTGTGCTAACGCAATAAATGGAAATGCAACTTGTATGTCCTTGCTACTTAAGTGTTGTTGTGTCCTGTCACTGACATCAGACTCCAAGGTGACTTCATCATTAAAACAACGGTATCAGTGAAAGCTGCTTTTTGTTCAGTGCTCCAGTACTACTTCATGTCCTTAGCTTGTGTAGAGGTTCACACTCTAATGAAAGGTTACTCAAGAACTTTGCTATGTAGATCACAAATCTATATTATTTTTGTGGTATGCAATTGCTTCATCCACATGTTTCCACAGCCATAGACTAGCAGATAATGCACAATAATTTCCACTCCAGGAAGATCACTGATTATCTTGTGTTGTCACTTTAATATTATTCAAGAGCAGTAGAAATGCTAAATGGCATGTATAACCATCTGGATCACTTGAATGCCATCCAGAATGTGTTTGAAAACTGCTACTGTCATCCAACTTAACTTGCCAGTAACCATCCTTTGCATTTCAGGCAGTAAAAATCTTTGCTTCTAAAAGTTGTGGCAAAACATCTTTAATGGTGGGCATGGCAGTGAGATTTCTTCAAAGTTTTATTGAGATCTTTTGGATTTATACATACTTTCAGTTTTGCAGGTTTTTTCACTGCTAAAATGTTGCTGATCCAGTCTACAGGAGGTGTCACTTCCTTGATCACTGCCTTCTTATCCAGCTGTTTTATCTTGTCTTTCAAGCTAGACTTGAGGGCAGTTGGAATATTCCTTGGCTGAGTTAGTCTTATTTTTTCATCTACTTCATGATCATATTCCAGGAGCGCATCCAAGACCTGTAAATATATCTTTGTAATCTTTTAGGATTTGTTCAGCAATCAATGGCTTCATGGCCTGTCAAATTGCAAATCTCCTTTGGCATATTTAGGGTTACTAGTCCAAGCTTTAGACTTGCTTCAGCTGAGACGAATGGATTTTGCTAAATATCTACTTTCTGGAGCTCAAGATCTTCATTTCGTCCCATTGCATTTGGCTCTGAACTCCATTTATCCTCTGGCATGAGTATTATTCCATCATATAGCTTCAGCTTTACTTTCGATGGATTCAGTTTTGGGTTACCACATCGCACAGGTCTATGAAACTGAATGAAGCACTGATGACAATTTGACGCTTCATATTCCCTTGATGCTCACATTCTGCAGTCATCTTTCTAACAGTTCCAAACCTAGACTTGACAACTTCAACCTGTTGTATGTCATAAAGTGATTCATCAGATTAATTTGCTGATATCTCTCCAAATGCCATCTTTCTAACTATACACATGTGCAGAGTGATTCAGGTTTTTATGGTTTGTGTACTGGTTTCCAGACACAAGATATGCTTTCCATTCTTTTGTGTGATGTGCCCCATAAAATTTACATCTTGTTCTCTGGCTTTGATCATTTTATTAGCTTTTCTGCAAATATTTCTTCCTTTTTTGCCCATTAATACACTCCAGCTGATTGACAGCTTCAGAACTTCTACACATATCAATAGCTTTCTTGAGGGTAAATTTCTCTACATAACAAGTGCGCCCGCAAGGCCTTATGCTGAAGATAGTGTTATCTCTGATTATATCATCTTTTGGTTGTGCAAACTCTCGGGTTTAAGCTAGATATATCAATGCAATCATATTGATCAATAGTTCCCCCACATTGAGTTCTGATGCTGAACAAATACTCTTCATAAGTAATGTTAATATGGGGTTCAAAGTGTATCTTCAAAGCCTGAAAAATCTCTCCTGTCTTCTCTATCCCTCAGTGAGAATTAGGATATTATACAGCTTGTAATTTCCTGACAGCAGGGTTGCAACTCTTAGATGCTGAAGTTTAAAATATAATTCTGTTTCTATGTCACAGTTTGGTCACTGTGAGTGGGGAAAAAAACAATTCTGTCTCACATCCCCTTCATTTCCACAATAGTAGCTAGTGGAAAATACACAGCTATTTGACTCACCCATTAGTTCAAAGTTGTGATGTGTTTTATCTTACTTCTTCCTTGCTATTACGTTCATCAGCTGACTCTTTTTAAAGCTCTGAACATTAACATATTTTCATTTGCATCACTTTGACACCATGTTATCTGTTTAATGGGTGCCCAGACTCTACTCAAATTAGGCACTTGCAGCAGAAGTAGAAGTCACATGGCTACAGCAAGCAAGTCAGTACTCTACTCTAAAGGCACAAATACATTTCTTCAAATGGGCTGTCTCTTTCAGATGTGCAGTTTTACTCTCATGCACTCGCTTATAGACACACACACACAAATTCACCCACAGGTGCCATCTCTCTCTCACTCACTGTTTTGTAGACTCCTCCTCTCTCCTGGGAATATGGAGACTTGATCTCAGGTAACTGCGCAGGGTGGGGGAACCAGGAGCCTCCTCTTCCCTCACTGCAGCCCCAGAACACAGATCCTCTGATAAGCAGACTCTCTCCCAGCCTTGAAAATTCACTGTTGAAGCTCTTGCATCCAGGCCTGAAGACTGAATGAAGCCACTTACCTTTGCACTGTTCACTTCTCCTCCACTCAGAATGATTCTCTCCTGTTTTTGATAATGATAGGCTCAGCACTATCACTGAGTATGGCAGATAAACAGCCTATGACTAGAGGAGCAGCTCCTTGAAGATATTGTTTTTACTCAGCTGCATTTTGAGTACTATTTTCATGATCCACAATGAGACACATGGTGGGCTTGATTCAGGCCCCAGGGCTGTGTGTTAGAAAAGCTAGCTTTAAATAGCACTAGTTGTAGATTGGGCACACTGCTGAACATATGTTTTGTTGCGCAGTAGTTGAAAGGGTGTCAGTTGGAGCGTGAGTTTGAGTATAGCACCACCAGAGTTAATTAACATTGTGGTCTGTTCTTTGGTTGCACACTTCTAGTGGCCATGTCAATGACAAAATGGTGTCTATCACAGGCAGGACAAGAAGTGCCAAAAGTGTAGGCATTACTCAACTGAATTTTGTGGAAAGATTGCTGATGTCCTCCTCAACGATTTGGTGTGCAAAACATTTCCAAAGGATGTTCCTGCCTTTCCACATTGTACTACATTGTGAATGTGCAGTCAGGTTGATAATTCTCCATTTATAAACCTGTTGCCTCAAATTAAATGGTTGAATTATGACCCATGTTTATTGCAATTTCTTGAAAAGCTTTTGATAACTTATGGTTGGAAAAGATTGCTTGCCACTCAGGCTATTGCTTAGTTAAATTATAAGGTCTCAAGGTATGTTCCATCATCAAATACTTCTTGTGCCATCTTGCTGTTGTAGCCAGTTGCATAATTCTTCCAATTGACTTGCTTTTTGCTTATACCAAGAAGTAGATTTATAAACTTTAATTGGAACGACTTCTGTAGGATTATGTTGCTCAAATTAATATAGTTAAGTTCAGTAAAATTCTACTCAGGAAGTAACTTGTGTATCTTTAACTCCAACAATAATTAAATGTGCATGTTAAAAAATAACCTTTCATATTTTGTCCCTACATTTTTTAAGCTGAAACTGTTAGGATGTTTTCAGGGGAACCCACCACATTCAGCTATTACTAAAGATGAAAACTCAAATGATTGGCGTTCTCTTTATGGGGAAACATCTAAACTCAGCCTGTGTATCCAAGAAGAAAGTGACTTAAGTACATGAGGGCAAGGTGTGGGCTTTTACCTGCAGCAAGTTGCTGATCTGAGCTGGACTGTTGTCAAACGCATCAGGCCACTTTCCTGAAAAACAGTAAGAGAAGGTACGAGATTCAGCTCAATCCTCCTGAAAGGGATTCCTGAGCACCATTGGAATAAGCCCAAGGGGAAGACTAAAGCAGTGCAAATTCTGCTCATATCTGCTTGTGTATCATAAATGGGTATTTGTTCATCATTGTACTAATCATGTCTTTCCGGACCACTTCAGGTCCAGGAGTGCCTATGGATTCCTGTCTATTTCTCTGTCCTATTTTCTGTATACTGTTGTTGCAATTAATGTGTTACTATGTTGATGGCAAAGGGCTGAAAGAAGACTGTTCAAATTGATATTCAAAGTATAAGTCACACTTTTGCATTTTTATTTTGTAGTGAGTTATTGGTCATTAGCAAGCTGTTGGAGGGTTAATTAATTGGAGACACACTTTGTGCACTGCTTTTGACATTAATTCAAGACTCTTTAAAAAGAGTCAGATCTCTGAAATTAGTCAAGGCATCAAAACTGCTTCTTCTAAAGAAGAGACAGTTGAGATGGGATTTCTTTTATTCAATACATAATTATGATCTGTAATGCATTACTAGAAAAGGAACCAGAAATAGATTTTCTTAATATTCAAAAATGCATTTTATAAACACTTGAATGGTAAAATTTTCAGAACTATGGAAAAACAAAGGGGAGCAAGAGTAATTTTCAAAGAGCCTGCTTGGGCATTTTAGGCTAAATACCCTCATTCTGTGTTATAATGTTCTATGATTAACAATGTGTCATTTGAGATAGCCCTGAGGTTTGGTTAAGGGAAAGAACAGCCACACACTTGTGCAGAGATAGTTTGTTTAATAAAGCATTTCCTTTCAGAACACAGCTGCCCATGGGTGTGTGCTTTTTAAAATCAATAAGCAAGAGAGAAATACTCAAAAAGCCGCCTAATATGATTGCCACTTGTAGACATTTGGGTGTTTTTTTTAAAAAGAAAACTTGCACCTCTGTAGCGTCCTTGTCTGGCAACTTTCCAACTTCCTGTGTGATGTCATGGTTGAGATTGGTTTATTACTGCAGCTTCTATACTGAGTTTGTGGCAGCTGAGTTGGAAGGAAGATTAGTGCCGGTGCAATTGGAGACGGCGGTATATTTTTAACATAAGGAAACAAATTGCCGTTAGGTAGCAGACGGAAGGAAAAAGGAGAAATACCGGAGAAGCAAAGCAACATCAAATTATTTTGTCAGAACAGCGTGCATGCAGGTCTGCACAGTGGGGCCCAAAGCGTGCAGCAAGTTCTCTGAGTTTGTTAATGAGACTTCCCCTAAAGGTTCGTCACGCCTCAGCTGCACTTCTGGGAACTCATGGACAAGAGACAAGGTAAGTTTTGCAATTTTATTGACAAGCTCTCCATCTAATTCATTGTGAGATTTATGTTTTTTGTGTGCGTTAGGAGCTGCGTTTTGCATAGCTGGTTCAGTGTAGCAAGCATTTTGGAGTTAGCTTGTTTACTTCCATTCGTTGCACAATCAGCCTTCCTTTACAGTAGCTTGTTTGCAGCAAAGACTTAAAGCAGGGAGTTACCGTAAGTTGCAGTGCCAAACTGCAAATGGAGCCAGTTGAAGGTTGCTAGCTCGGTGTTCTTCCATGCGGTTTTGTCCTTTAAGTTGACCCAGCACGGTGATCTTTATAGAAATACACAGTGCATGGATTTCACTTTCAGTACTATTTCTGCAGCAGTTAATGGATACCCTGAGACTGGGAGTGTTCATCTTAAAGGGACACTTTGGCTCAGTTACCAGTTCAGTCTGGTCGTTGTACGTTGTTTTATTAGAAAGATTTAGGTGGAGAAGTTTACTTTGAGGCTTTCCCTGTTGGTGTGTTTTGCATTGGTTTCTATATTTGCAATGCTGCACTGTTCTTGGAAGCCATATGCGGTGACAGGAAATTTCTATCTTTTAAAAAAAAATTGCATAATATCTCCACTTTCGCTGTTTTTGGAATACTTTTGATTTTGAATATATGTGTATGTATTCCTATCATTAAAGCTGAATACAATAAATTGTTTTATAAATTTTTTTTAGTGTGGGATTTGTGCTCCATGGTATGATTGATATTAGTTCTGGGAATGGAACACTTCCTACTTGGCACTCGCTATTTGCATCAAACACTTTCAGATCAGTTACGGCGTTGTTAAATGTAGAGGAAAGGTTTATTCTCTGCGTATTTGACGTTAATTTGTTCGAAGTTTACAGACACTATAGACGTTGCAAACTAAGTGGAACAAAAGTATTTCAAAATAAACATGCATAATTGGGCTTAAAGCATTGGCTTAGTGGTACCATTCTTGCCTCTTGAGTCAGCGGTTTGGGTTTGAGCCCACTACAGACAGTCCCGGTGAGCGGAGACTGCAGTTTGGGCTGTGACCACTGTACTGGGTTGGCATCCAGTAGAGGCATCAGATTGGGGAGCCCTTCTCCACATTTATAGGCAGGGTTCTGTCTCCTCTGGTTATAACTCAGCTGGAAGAGGGCACTCCCAAGATAAGAAAAAAAAGTGAAGATGCCAATGGCCTTAATGTAGTATAGACCTGTTGTTGGAATAACAGAATGGAGGGGTCACCACTTATCACACTTGACCAATTTTTAGATATCCCATTTTACAAATATAGTGTCTATCATATTTGCCTGTTTTAAAATGCAAATTTTGCATAATTTTCCCAAAACTTTAAAACAAATGAATATAAATGGAATGTTGAGAAATTTCTTCACAATCATCAGTTGTTCCAAGAATTAGAATGTATAGAGTTTCTTATTGACCGGCTTTTGTACTTTTGAGAGATGACCTCTAGTTGACCTGATTGCTTAATAATTATTATTGAATAATTCATTTTATAATACTTAACAATTAGAGTGATACAAAAAATATTTTGTCTTACAGTGAATTTTTGGCCTTTGTGGCAACACAACTTTTGATTTGAGTGGCACAATGAAGATTCTATGATCAATAATACCTATGTATGAATCCATGCGGTCCAAATTTCTGATACATATGTCTGACTTTTCAAGTTTTTTTTAAAACTATGTTCTTTGCAACACACCTAAAAGTGGTGACTCAGGCTAGAGTATAGTTCTCAAAATGCTGGTCACTGTCTGTCTGGTGTTGTGGCTGCACTTCTTCCAATGTAGAGTTATGTTGGACTTGAACTGTGGAAAAGATGTATTTCTTGAGTTTTGTCCTGTTTCACCTCATGTCCATGTGCACGTGTTAAGAGCAGAAACCTATCTTCAACTTTCAAGTCCAGGGTGGATGGTTAATTGTAACTTTTCAGAGACTGCTCTGGGTGTGGTAAGCCAATTTGACATGAATTCTGTTCAGTATGGTCATGAAAGCTGTTCAATATGGTCCAGTACCACAGCAGATGGTGTCTTTGTCTGATGAGCTTTTGGGAGTTTTTTTTTAAAAATTGTGTTTTTGGTTTGAGGTTTTTAGACTTTAAATGTATAACTTAAACTTAAATCTCATCTCCTCTTAAATGCTGTATTTGATGCATATGCTTGTCCACTCACTATTGTGATCATAAATTTGCCAAACTAGACACATTATCATGTTATCTTTCACTCTCTATTTACCACAGTGCAGATAGAGGATCATCTCATAGTTAAATCTTCATTAAGAACAGGCATTCTGGAAAAGAAACAAACTTGCATTTAACAATATCTGGTTTTTTTTGCATCTCTTGGAAGCATCTACAGTCATTTTGAAATTCAGTGTCCATTGCATGTAGAGACAAATGTAGCTGCAGTATGTAGTAATGAATGCTTGACCAGGTTTTTTATTGATGCTGGTTGAAGGAAGAATATTAAGTGGTTAAATGCAAGTCATTGATATTTTCCCAACCGCTGGCACAGGCTTGATAGACTGAATACCACCTGCTGTGCTACAGATTTCAGCAAGATTCGGTGGTTCTTTATTTTGAATTTCATTGTGGCTGTTGGTGTCAGTTTGATTTAATTGCCTACTTTTCAAAAGATTGCGAGATAGCAATATCAACTTTCTTGTCTCGGTAGTTATCCTATTGTGCCAAAGTTCAGTTGAAGGCAAGATGTGAACTTTGTGCTTCACCTCTCTACATTGGAACCAATGTTTTTTTTTGTGGAAGGGACATTTGGATTTCACTCCGTAGTGTTTGGAAAGGATGAATGCATTTCAACTATTGCATAACAGCAGCAGGTAAATGGAGCTGCTACTGTAGAGGATGGGGTTCTATTTATTGCTAGTATATCTATCTCTGCTTTTGGTGGATAATGAAGTCTAAACGGGTGCTCTAAGAATTAGATGCATTGTGCAATCCTAGCATTGTCTTGCATCTAATTTTTCTAGAATTTGCTCCTGAAAGCCCTCTTTTTTTTTTTTTTTTCCATCCTAACACTCTATCTCCATTTAACACCCAAACACCTGCCATTTTGACCTTTATCTTAAGCATTTCTCCAAACGTTATGTCTATGTCCTGTTGTTTGGATGGAGAACTCTCTGCTGGCATTGGCCACAGGCACTTGTCAGTTAACCACTTGCAAATAAAGTTGTATGAATGAAGTTGTATTTTCATTTAATCCTAAAATACTTACTTTCTTAGAAGAAATTCTCATTTTGGAATGAAGCTAGGATGTACTGGAAATGTACAGCAGGTGAAGCAAAGAACAGATTTAGCCTCTCCTGATAACTATCATTTGTTACAACAAAGCTATGCTGCATTGGTGCTGTTCCAATATGAACTCTTGGAAGCGTGTTCATGAACCAGCATCCAATATTTTGTGTTTTAATCCAGCTTCTATATGCCGTCCATCCAATTTTACTGTGGTATGCGTACCACTAGGGTAAGGAAGCTTGGCTTAGTCATGTAAATGTTAAGTGCTAACTCGCGCAACAGTCTCGCAAAGCAATTTAGTTTGTTGCATTTGCAACATTTCACTTTATTGCTGAATAATACAGGTGTGACCAAGACTCGAATGTTTGAGAATTGAAACCTATCTTTTCTTTTCATAACTCGTGAAACTATAGTTTTGCTTTTAGCCTTCTATCCTTTGTGTAACTGGCTTGATACTACTGTTTTCTATAATATATGAAATGAGATCACACATATAGTATCAGGATGTATCCATCAAAGTCCCAACTTGGAAGATTGGGACTGACTATCCTTCTTCGAGAACTTCGAAATTGGTTCTGATCTTGAACTACGGCAGGTCATGAAATTTGGGCCTGTAGTCTTCGTCATGCCCCTGTGGTTAACAGATCATTCTGTATGTAAACAAACACAGGCTATGTATTACTATAGCACAGTAATTAAACTAAATAGTAGGTTGATTTTATTTTCGAACATTTTTATGTTAGATTTGCTTGGGCAGTGCTTTATAATTAAATGAAAAGCATTGTGGCGTCATATAATTATCCATGCACATGTCAGTATCTATTCTTTGCCCCTGTCCCAAAACTAAATGTGCAAGTTTTAGTCCTGTAAGGATAGCGCCACTTCTGTTGACAGTGGATCACTCCCTCTACTTTTGGCGAATGCCCTCTGTTAGTCTAGCCTTTTTATTATCCACTAAGCTGCTCCCCTAAGTATTGGACATCTAAAATGTTAGTGAAGATTTTTCTTGCATGAACAGTCATATTCCAAATTGTAATATTAGCTCAGCTGTCTCAACCCTGTTTGCTTCAACTTCTGTAACCCTCTCTAGCTAGCTCTCTTTCTGACTAAAAGTCTTCTTTAAGGTCAACCCTTTCGTTGCTTTGTATCAACCATGACTAGGTAAGTAGCACTCTGTTTTGAGTTATGTATGTAGGTTCTAATCCCACTCCATGAACCTGGACACGGAATTCAGGTTGACATTTTCATGTGTTTGAGAGAGAGCTACTTTACTGTAGATGAATCTTTTAGATGAGCATTTAAACCAAGGCCTTGTCTTTCCTCTCCAATGGTCATAAGATTCCATGGCACTGTTTTAGCAGGGGACTGCCTCATGATATCTTAGCCAATAACTACCCATCAACCAACATCATGGAAACAGTTTGATTTATTGTCGTTGCATGTATCGAGATACATCACAGTGCCAGGGACCTGGGTTTGATCCCAACGTAGAGTGACTGCCTGTGTCGAGTTTACACATTCGTCGTCATTGTTGTCATCATAGAATCCAAACAGTGTGCAACAGGCCCTTTGGCCCAATAAGTCCACACCGACCCTCAGAGCATCACACCACGACCCATCCCCGTATAACCCACCTAGTCTACACATCCCTGAACACTACGGGCAATTTAGCATGGCCAATCCACCTAACCTGCACATCTTTGGACTGTGGGAGGAAACCGGAGCACCTGGA